AGACATGACAAGAAAGCTTTGATTGTAAGGCTTCTGCTGACAGTGAAAGCTAAATGGAGTCAGCAGTTGGCCCTTCTAGACTAAAACTGAAAAATATTTGTGATGAGAACAATAAAGCACAACTTGCCTACACAGTTTCTGAAGTGCATCAAAGAACTCTGATGAGATATGGCCCCAAAGTATCTACTCTGCCTGAAAGACAGTAGTAGAACAGGAAAGGTATTCCAGATCTGAAGGGAGCTTGTCTGCTGCCTGCTTGCTAAGTACTTATCTATCCCTCTTTGTAGTGGTCCTTTACTTTGAAACAAACAAAAAAATTTTTTAAGGAAAAAAATTCCAGATACTATCCATCTTAGTTGAGCTCCTTTCTGGTTAAATTGCAGCTATGGCTGAATTAGATACTGTCATTCCATATGTTAGACACACTCAGCCAGATTAAGGGATCCAAGCAATAAAATAAACTTTTCCTAAAGTATTACTGAAATAAATCAGAAATAGGATGCCAGTTATCTCCTTTTCTAGCTGGTGATAAGCAGATTGGACAAACTCTGCCAGAGAAGATTAAACTCTCCAGGAGAACTTATAAAAAAAAATAATAATAACTCACTCTTTACCATCAATTCAAAATAAACTCAAGAGTACAGAGTATGTAATCAAACTTTTATCTTGAACATAAAGAGTCCTGTAAGTGTAACAGAAAGTACATTTTCCCTGCTCTGCCAAAGAAATACTTTAAAAGTATTTGAAAGATACTATTTGCAAGGAGTAAAAACATCACTAAGTTGCCCAATGAACCCACACGCGTTGACCCACTGAGGGACACATTGGAGGAAACCAGGAATTGCTCATCCTGTACCTGCCCTTAAGCTTGCCCTCTCAGTGAATGACACCAAGTCTTAGCCAGTTGACAAAAAGGTAGAAATCATCTTGGCATCTTCCTCTCCTACATCCCTCACAGCCCATCCATAACTAAAGCATTTCTCTATTCTGCTTCAGAACACATTTCCGATCTGTCCATTTACCCAAGCCTATTCCTATGACCCTAATTGAGACCACTTCTATTCCGGCTTGAATTAATGCAACAGCTTCAAGAGTTCCAACTTTTTCCCTCCTGCAAATCTATTTTTCATGCCGCAGATTAATCTTCCCAAAAATATAAATCTGATATTACTCTTTTGCATAAAACACTCTAATGGCTTGCTGTTGCCCTCAGGATAGAGTGAAAACAGCTTATCATGGTTTACAAGCCTCTTGTAAATCATTCCTCTAATTACCTCTTTGACCTCTTTTCTGTTTCCCTCCTGTATTTGCTCCAGCCCATCTGGACGAATTTAATTCTCCAATCTCAGAGGGTTTCCATTGCTTCCATGCCTTTGTACTCCCTATTTTCTTTGCCTAGAACTCACTCTCTCTCTCTCCATGAAGGATGACGGTGGGGACTAAGGAGTGAGAATGGAAATAAACTGTTGTTGGGTTACTATGTATTTTACCTAAAGCAATTTGATGATACCTCTAAGTAGATTGTGATAAATTAAAGATGTATACTATAATCCTTTGCACAAATAAAAATACTGTACATAAACACACAAAGGCTAAAGAATTGAAATGCAATACTGAAAGATTAAAATAGAAAAAGACAAGAAAGAAAGGAACAAAAAATTCAAATGGTGACAGATAAACAAATAGCAAAATGGCACCCCAAAATGCAATCATTTTAGTTAACTATATTTGGTATAAGTGGACAAAACAATCTAACAAAAGGCAGAGATTGCAGAGATCCTGAGACTGATTGAAAAGCCAGAACCAGCCACATGCTGGCTATAAAAGAAACTAACTACAGAGACACAAATATGTTGAGAGTTAAGGATGGAAAAAGATATACCATGAGAACATTAAGCTCAAGAAACCTAGAGTGGCTACAGTAATCATTCAAAATGAGTTGAAGACAAGGAGTATTACTAGAGACAAAGATGGACTCTTTCTAATGATAAAAGATCCATAAAACAATCTCAGTAGGTTTCGAAGGATTGAAATGTTGCAGAGCAGTTCTCTGACCACAACAGAAGTAAATAAATAAAATACAGTAAGACTCTAGAAAAGATCTAACTACATACTTGGAACAAGGTAACTCTATCCTAAATCATCCATCAGCAAAAAAGAAGCATAAAGTAAACTAAAAAAAATGTCAGTAAGTTTTATATATATATTAAAACTTCTGAAATGCAATTAAGCATTTTAAAAGCTTATATTAAAAATGAAGGACCAAAATCAATGATCTAGGGTTCCACCTTAGGAAGATAACAAAACGAACCAACCCAACCCTGATGAACCTGTACCAAACATCTATGCACACTAAATTATTTCCTTATATCTTCAGAAAAAAAATATAGCTCATCAGATCAATCCTCTTCTGGAAGCAGTAGCTATGTTTATGGCACAGATTGTGGTGACAGATTCACAGATATCTACTTACCTCCCAACTCCTCAACTTGTATACATTAAATATATAATTTTTTGTATGTCCATCATCCCTCAATGAAGTGGCTTTTAAAAATTCAAAGTTAGGAAAAAAATGGTTCAAAGGGATGCACATATTGAACTTAGATATATTTAAGTTTAATGTATCCAGTAAACTCCTCAGTGTTGTCCCTGAACCTCCTGAAGCCTCTACCTGTTTCTATTCCATCAGTTCCTTCTACTCTTGTTAATTCTGGGTAAAAATAGGAATTAAACTTAGTTAAAAATGATATGTTCCTGTTGTTTAACCTGCATTTCTTTGCTTACTAGTGAGGTTGGTCATCTTTTCATATACTGATTAGCTGTTTTTAGTGTTTATTACATTCATTGCCTCATTTTCTATTGACATTTACCTCTTTTCCTTATTGATTAATAAGAGCTGTTTAATACCAAGTTGATCATGGTCTTTGGGTGTTCAATGTGCATGTTGTTTGCTTGTTATGCTATTATTTTTTAAATGCATACAATCAGACCATTTTCTTTCATGGTTTCTGGCTTTATTCATAGAAAATGCTTTTCAACTCTATTATAAAATTATTGAATTTTCTTCTAATATATTATCTGTTCATGCATTCTAGTTCTTAATTCATCTGGAATTTATTTTATTGGACCAAATTAAGTTGTGTATCTTTTCCCACTAAATATCTAGCCAATCATTTATATCTTTCTCACTGAATTAAAATGCCACCTTTCATCTATATATACTAACTTTTCAAATATACTTAATGTTAATTCCTTACTTTGTTTCATTGACTGTATTTTCATGGAGTGTACTGCTTTATTTTTGATATCTTGTAGGGTCTGTTGCCATTACTACTGTGTAATATTTCTGATTACTGTCATATTTATCTTCTTTCAAATGAACTTCCAAATTTCTCAATATATACATAGATCACAGAGATATATTTGGTTTTGAAAAACAATGTCCCTATAATATTGAATCTATTAAAATAAATAGTATACGTCTCTTTTTTCTAAGTTTTGTTTTCTTAGTAGGGCTGAGTGTTTGTCATAGTCTGTGTATTTCTCATTAAATTATTCTTCCAGGAATATAATTTTTTCAGAGATGCTGTGACTAATGATTTGTGACGATATTTTCTAAATGTTTTTATTTTGTACCATGTTTTTAATCATTTTTCAGGTAATTTAGACATTAATTTGATCTACAAACAATGCTAGTTTTACTGCATCTTTTCCAATAATACCAACTCCTATGTTCCTAGATAATGGATTTTGGAGCACTGTCTGAATCTTTGCCTTGTTCTTACATTCGGGGGCACTTCTCTAGTGATTCACCATAAGGTTGGATCCTAGTCATTTTTTTATGGATATATAAATTTAGATGTAGACATAGCTTTACATGGAGATATAGACATATATGTAAACACTGTGAATGGAGAATTGTACTTTCAATTGCTCTTTTAGGCGTGAATACTGAAGTTGATCGAATACCTTTTTATCTAAAAATACTGTTTTACACTACTGAGACTTGTGTAAAATGTGGTGTTTGTAGATTAAGTGTACCCCACAGGATCTCATGTGGAGAAGCAAAGCTCAACAACACCTGTCTTGCTATGCAGTTGAACAGTAAGTTCAGTGTCTGCTTAAACATCTACAGTTAAAGCATACTCCTTTCCAATATCATTTGATACCTATTTAAGTTCAGTTTAATATGTCCACTGGGTTTGAAATTGAATATGAAAGGATAGTTCATTTATTATTTAAAAACTTTTTTTTCCTTAAAATTACAACTCTTCCCATTCTTAAAGCATTTTCATCATCATAGCCATTATGGTGCCTTGATTCGGTCTCTTCCCTATAATAAACACAAAGCATACAAAGAGATTTTGAGGATCTTTTTGCTTACCTCAAAAAAGAAATCCCCTTCATAAATGAAGACTTACTGAATTCTGAAGGATGTATACCTTCTAAGGGGCAGTTTTTAATAGAAAGCTTATATCTGAAGGAAATAAAGCCTCAACCTCTTGTATTGCATGTAACTGTTTGTACTTTGAACCTAAGAGCCAATGAAGTTTCTATTAGCTTCATTTTGAGCAGAGGATGATATCCCAACATTACAGATGCAGACACTGATTCAAACTGAATAGGTTTCCTCTTAGCCATTGACCTCTGTTGCTTGAGTTTGAGTTCAACATAGAGCCTTTTGTGAAATGCATGCTGTTGGGCCTCACACTCTGTGCCAGATGGTGTATTAGTCTCCTCATAATTGTTAAATACTGTCTTTGTCCTAATTCTAGGATGCTATTACTATCGTCATCCTCACTTTACAGCCAAGAAAACCAACATACAGAGAGGCGCATCAACTTACCCCATGTGGCTAATAAGGGCAGCCCTCGGGTTCAATCCCATATCAGTGTGATTCCCAATCCAGGGTCCTTTCCATCGTACTTGCTGCCTTACTGATGTCCCTTTACCAATCCATGTCCTAACTCAACTTCTCTTCCTGCCTCCTCCTGCAGGCCCGTGACCAAGGTGTAGACTAAGAGGTGGAGTCATGCTTCACACGGCCATATCATGTTGGCAGCCATTCCTGGGTCTGGCTGTAGTGTTCATCTTCATGGGTTCCACCATTGGCTGCCCCGCTCGCTGTGAGTGCTCTGCCCAGAACAAATCTGTTAGCTGCCACAGAAGGCGGCTCATCGCCATCCCCGAGGGCATTCCCATCGAGACCAAAATCTTGGACCTCAGCAAGAACAGGCTGAAGAGTGTCAACCCTGAGGAGTTCATATCCTATCCTCTGCTGGAGGAGATAGATTTGAGTGACAACATCATCGCCAATGTGGAGCCAGGAGCTTTTAACAATCTCTTTAACCTTCGTTCCCTCCGCCTCAAAGGTAACCGCCTGAAACTGGTCCCCTTAGGGGTCTTCACGGGGCTATCCAATCTCACCAAGCTGGATATTAGTGAGAATAAGATTGTCATTTTACTGGACTACATGTTCCAGGACCTGCACAACCTGAAGTCTCTAGAGGTGGGGGACAATGATTTGGTTTATATATCACACAGGGCCTTCAGTGGGCTGCTGAGCTTGGAGCAGCTCACCCTGGAGAAATGCAACCTCACAGCTGTACCAACAGAAGCCCTTTCCCACCTCCGCAGCCTCATTAGCCTGCATCTGAAGCATCTCAATATCAACACTATGCCCGTGTATGCCTTTAAAAGACTGTTCCACCTGAAACATCTAGAGATTGACTATTGGCCTTTACTGGATATGATGCCTGCCAATAGCCTCTATGGTCTCAACCTCACGTCCCTCTCGATCACCAATACCAACCTGTCCACGGTCCCCTTCCTTGCCTTTAAACACCTGGTATATCTGACCCACCTTAACCTCTCCTACAATCCCATCAGCACGATTGAAGCTGGCATGTTCTCGGACCTGATCCGCCTTCAGGAGCTTCATATAGTGGGGGCCCAGCTCCGCACCATTGAGCCTCACTCCTTCCAAGGGCTCCGCTTCCTTCGTGTGCTCAATGTGTCTCAGAACCTACTGGAAACTTTAGAAGAGAATGTCTTCTCCTCCCCTAGGGCTTTGGAGGTCCTGAGCATCAATAACAATCCACTAGCCTGTGACTGCCGTCTCCTCTGGATCCTGCAGCGGCACCCCACGCTGCAGTTCGGGGGCCAGCAGCCCATGTGTGCTGGCCCCGACACCATCCGTGAGAGATCATTCAAGGATTTCCACAGCACTGCCCTTTCTTTTTACTTTACCTGCAAAAAACCCAAAATCCGTGAAAAGAAGCTGCAGCATCTGCTAGTGGATGAAGGGCAGACGGTCCAGCTCGAATGCAGCGCTGACGGAGACCCTCAGCCTGTCATTTCCTGGGTGACACCGCGCAGGCGTTTTATCACCACCAAGTCCAATGGAAGAGCCACCGTGTTGGGCGATGGCACCCTGGAAATCCGCTTTGCCCAGGATCAAGACAGCGGGATGTATGTCTGCATCGCTAGCAATGCAGCGGGGAACGACACCTTCACGGCCTCTTTAACCGTGAAAGGCTTCACATCAGACCGCTTCCTTTATGCCAACAGGACCCCTATGTACATGACGGACGCCAACGACACCATGTCCAACGGCACCAATGCCAATACGTTTTCCCTGGACCTTAAAACAATACTGGTGTCTACAGCCATGGGCTGTTTCACATTCCTGGGAGTGGTTTTATTTTGTTTTCTCCTCCTTTTTGTGTGGAGCCGAGGGAAAGGCAAGCACAAAAACAGCATTGACCTCGAGTATGTGCCCCGAAAGAACAATGGTGCTGTTGTGGAAGGGGAGGTGGCTGGACCCAGGAGGTTCAACATGAAAATGATCTGAGGGTCTAGTGCTCACACTGTTGTTTCCGGGTCGGTGTTGGTTACCAGTGAGATAGCTGGCACAGTCAATTACTAGGTGAAAAGGTGGCTTCGGGCAGCTGCCCCTGTGTCCAAGCAGGGTCCACGGAAGCAGGAGGACTTCATCTGGAGACTCTCCACCTAGAGGCAGGCAGACACGTGTCAGAGCCCTTCACAGTGGGATACTAATTGTTTGCATTGCAAATATTGGCATTCTGGGGATCTCAGTAATGAACCTGAACCTTCGGCTCATGCTCATGGACAGTTACTCAACATTTTCTACCATGGCAAAAACAAAAGGAAAAAAAAAAGGAACAACCTACAATGTAGGATTTACATATTAAAAAGACACATTTGTCTAAAACATACTCTACAGAAAAATTTGTATCTGATTCTCATTTGTTAAAGCCTTGCATCATACCGTATTGTTGATTCAGCACCACAAAGAAATCAATATATTCTTTACTTTTTTTTGGAAACATATATGCTGTATATGTTTTAAAGCAATATGAATGAGAGGTTGTGCTTTTAGTTACTCACCACTATAGATCCAAGTGTGATATCACCTTCCTTTCCATACAGATGACCCTGAGACTAGATCCCTGGAGTTATGGGCGGAGAGATGCGGGATGATGCGTTTGTCTGATGTAGGATGCCAAGAAATAGAGCCCAAGGCAAAACTGCTCGACTCTGTTAACTTCTGTTACTATAAATAAAGGCATGTGCCTAGTTTTGATACAGAATGGAATATTTTTTATACTTGTGATATCACCCTGGACCAGTTTACTGTAACAAAGCCCTTGGTTTCTCCGGAAGGTTGTATACCACTAATTGTACCTGTAAAATGCAAGGTAGGTGTTCATGATGAAGATGAACCATTTAAACACAACTTGATTTTACTTTCATCAGTTACTACTAATGGGTTGACAGGAAGAGCACGTACTTGTTATCTATACTCATAGGGTAATATTTACCTTGTAGAGGAGATCAAGAATTCGGATATGCAAAAGCTCTGTGGATAAAAGGGAGTTCTTCTCAGATGCCAACACAAACCAGGGTAATCCAGGCATCACGTGATGTTAACGCAACTAAAGATCTCTTACAATGATAGCTGTCTGACGGCTGGATTGCTGCCAAAGGAAATATCCAGCTACCACTCTGATGTTTTCTATTCAAATATTTACTGTACGTACAGTATTACCTTGAATGGGTAACTTCAGGGCTTTTCCCTGCTTCCTTTTAGCTTGAGAATTATCTTGTGTACATAAGAGGAATCTATCTCATTTTTAAAGACGTGAGGAGGAACAGGTGAATTAAAAAGCACTTAGTTTTTTCCTCTACTCTGTACAGGAAAAAACTAAGTTCAAGAGCCCTACCAATAGGTTAAATTGTGCAGATACTTTTACCCCTCTGACCCAAGAATCTCAGTCCAGTTCAGTTTGTATTAATGATTGTTACTGAAAGTTAAAACATTATAGCGTTTGTTTTTTAATGGCATCCTGCCCCTACCACCAGTGATCTGGTTCCAATGAGACATAATTCCATTTGGCTAAATATTCAGTGAACGCCTTTCAAGGCATATATTCATATGATCCAAGAAAGCACTGAATACAGAGTGGATTCATGAAATGTAATCTATTTAATCAGCAAAGGACAGATAGGAAATGGCTATACTTTGTACATTTTGAGAGGGACCTGAAAGTGAGCCCCCTTTTGGACAGTGAATAAAAAGTTTCTGAAGTTTGTTTCTTGACATATCCACCTATCCTCCTGGGGGTTTGACTTTCAAAAAGCTGGCTTTTTTTTTTTTTTTTTTTTGGCAGCATTTGAAATTTTGAGGAGCTTCAATAAAATTAAATTGACCCCAATAAAAAAGTGACAGGTCCAGAAATTGTTTTGCCGATTGGATAGTAGCACAGTTAAACCCCTTTCTCCCTTAGTAAAGGGTGGAAATGAGACAAAGATTGAAGAATTGCCTGTTTAAGTCACTTTTCATTTGACTTTCCTAATGACTATCATAGATCTTTTAGAAATTCATTTTCCACTTTTGGAAATTACTTTATATTACATATCCAATAATACAAGACTTTTTTGCAATTTCTATTTCCTGTGTGCAGGTGGAATGGGGTCTTTCAAACTGGAAAGAAAGAGTGGAGAGCTAGTCTTCCACAACTTAATAGAAAATACTTCATCTTAATTTTGCAACATTGTAATTGCAACCCATTGTCCAACAACAAGACACACATTGAGCAATTAATAAAAGGGCCTTGAGATCGTAACTGCTATTTTCTGTTAAAATAAAAGTGGACCAAAAACAGCTTAGTCAAATGAAATTGAATTAAAGTTAACCCATCCACGAAAAGATTAAGTGAAAAGATTTTGTGATTATACCACTGGAAGAAGAGAGACTGTACTCTTTCAGGGGCTTCCATACTCTCATCTGTGGAACAACAGGTATTTAAGATGTCAGAAAGCACTCTTCCAAAAAAGAGACTGGATAGACTACTAAATTGGGAAAATGCTGCATTCTTTAACCACCTCTTAACGTTCAAAATATACATGAGCCTACTAAATCCTCTGCAAGTCCTGTAAAAAACAATTCTGTTTAATATTGCTCACCTTATGGTTTCACTATTATTTGAGCACGAAGCTCTTCCTTTTCTGATTTGACTGTTAACATCTTGAAAAACGAGTTCCGTCAAACCCAGTTTGATCAACAGTGAACTAAAGTAGTGCTCTTCCGAAGTAGTCCTAAACTCACTGTTACCACTAAGAGTAAAATTGCTATTTGAAGTGGACTCCAACAGATAACAAAAAAATATATCACCTGCACATGTGATCTGATCATAAGAATGTATTGGCCAGGTATTTCTATGAGAATCTACTTTCCACCAGAAACATCACAGTAATGGATTTGTAGTTAATTGAAAGGCTACTTAATTTTCTCTATTTTCACTAGTGGTGCAGATTTTGGGTTCCTTTGTATATCTGTAAGGCCCGACCATGGGTTCCACTAACTAGCTCTAGGGCTTAGCATGGAGTTACACACGAGGAATTTTCCCTTATGGCTTTAAATTACCTGTTAGAGCAAAGTAGACCATGGTAGAGAGTAACAGCTCAGAGAGCACATGGGCCAAATTCTCTCCTAAGTAAACCTCTCTGAGTCAACCTCTTCCCAGAGGATTTGTCTTAAAGTGTCCCAAGAAGAAATACAGTTGTTTGGCTCACCACTAAGTTTTGGGTTGACCCGTTCAGTTGTGTGTGTTGACATCATTTTCAGATAAATATTTATTTTCTCTAAGCATTAAATCTCTAGAAGAACAAATTCTCTGACTAGAGCCCTAATAGTCTGAGAGAATTGATCCATGTCCCTAAATATCTGAAATTCGTATTACCATAGTAAGGTAATTCACCAGTCGGGCTTAACGTGTTCCTGATGAGGGATTTCTACTTGTCCAAATTCTCCTAGTACTCACTTTTTTTAAACCTCATTTCATTTTCATTGCATTTATAGCTATGAGCTTTTCAAATAGTCTCAAAATCTGAAAATGTAAACCAAGAATTGCCAAGATTTACACATCCTAGTTCCTGACGACGTGGGTCAGATTTTCAGTTTTGCTCAAGCTTCCAAGAAATTTTGCTTCTCACCAGCAACTCCCCAGTAGTATGAAGGCATTCAGGATTTGCTCTAGAGTCAAGGGTGGATTCTTTTTTCATTGTTCTGTCAAATATTTTGCTCTCCTCAGTTCTCAGAGAAGCCCAGAAGTTATATAATCTTCTATGACTTTTTTTTAAAAGGATTATTTAAATCTCACCTGCACTGAAGCCTGACTTTTGTCACTTTCCATGACTCAAGTAGGAACAAATATATTTTTATTTTAGAAAGTACAAAAGAGAGGATGTGATCTTGGAGAAGAAAAATTGAGTACAGCCCCATGTAAATTAACTTACCCTTCCAGGTTCTCCTTTCATCTCTGGGTCAAGACATTTGTTTTAATTTCAGGACTGTGCTCAGAAGCTGTTCAGCAACATGTAATATGTCTTGAGGCTTTCTAGGAAAAAAAAAAAATACATCATTTTCAGTGTAGAAGGCTAAGACTTAACAAAAAGACATTATTGAGGATTTAAAGAAAAGTTAGGAGATACTTGGATCCATTTTAATTCTATTTCCTCTACTGCTAAAATTTATAGTTACTATCTTCTGAGAAAGAATCCTAAATTATCTTCTTTAAATTTAGTTTCTGCTTGATCCCTGTTTCCTACGTCCCAGTCACATTTATGTAGCTCATACGATCTATTCCAAATGGATTTTGTGGCATATGAACCTAGTAACAAAACCTTTGGGGTCGAAGCCATTCATTCTACTTGGTACTTAGGTAAAGATACATCGTTCTTTCTTACTAGGATTAGGTTCTAGCAACATTCCCCATTGGACTTGTACATCCTGTGCCCGGTTATTTCCATGGATTTTCCACCATTGGCTTTGGGAGCTTGTCCTTTCTGCTACAATCCTTGGTACTTTCTGTTCCAGGAGTTTTACTTTGCCTTTGTGTGTGGGAAGCCTTGAAGAATGCAATATTATGATTTGTTGATTTCAGAATTAAATGCATTGGTTAGGCACCAGAGGGTGCTTCCTGATATGTCGGCAAACACTTGATGAATCCCTGTTGCTGTCCCCTTAGCTCCTTCAAAAGCCATCCCTAAGAGAGCACTCTCTTTCTCCCTGTAGTGAAAGTATGGCGACAGGGAAAGGGCAGCTTCACGACTTAAGTCTCCAAGATCAAAATGACAGCTGATTTGCTACGATATTTACCTATGTAACAAAAACTGGGTCTCAGGGCCATAAAAGTCTAGATTTGCAAGGTTTAACCAAGTCAGCTATGGTTTAAATCAACAATGACAGGTTTTCAAACCCAAAATCGGTTCATCTGTTTTGGGAGCAGTAAATGTGGCTGTATTGCTCAAAAAAAAAAAAAAAGATAATGAAAACTGCTTGTGTTAGCTTTGCCTATAATAAAATGTTTGCAGCAAATATATATATATATATATATATGTATATATTATATATAGAAGATTAAGAGGTTTGTAAAAGGTTTATTTTTCTAAAACAGGCCTGGAGCTGATGTTCCTCTTTCAAAATATGGGAATCTGATCAAGACACACTTGCATGTGCCTCAGATGGCCCATCTCAGTTGGCCAAGGTCTTTAATGCCACTTTTCCCTCCCCTCCCCCCCCCCATCTCCCTGGAGAAGATCTGGAATGGGAAGGAGGAAGAGAGTGGGGA